GGTTCAGTTTCCATCAAACCTTCATAGCTCCAAGATAGAATGAGCGAGAACTCCTGCTGTGGCTCAGAACCATGGACAAAGGGCCAGCTGGTAGGTGGTTCCCAGGGGTAGTGGTTTTCTCAGGGGTCCTCTCCAACAAATGCAGGCCAGCAAAAAGTATTTATGTAGAATTTGTATTGATTAGCAGCACAGTTGACCTAGGGCTCTCCCTTTCATCACTGGGTCTGAAATTTGTACGGGGGGAAACCTCCTTCCTCCATGGGCTGGCCCAGCCCAAGACTCTATTAGACCATACCTGTTAATTCATGGGTGTCAGGTTAAGACTCAGAGAGGCCTCACTGCCAAAAGTGGACCACAGCTGGGGCAGATCTGCATGTAGGGTCAGAAGGCAAACCACTTCTCCTTCTCTCAGACTCCAAAGAAAGTGTTTCTAGTTTTCCTATCGTCATTTTCATGTTTTTAATCTGGGTTCTTTACTGGTTTTGGACGTAACTTTCAGCGGCAAGGGCTTTAACAAGTATGTTGTTTTAAAAGACTCAAATGCTATTGAACTAACTACCTCTTTTTCTGGAGTTCCTCTTCTTTCCCTTGGTGCACTTCTCCCCAAGTCAGTCAAAGTGGACGAGTAACTTCTAGGGGACTCTCGGTCTATTGGAAAGGACAGTGCCAGCGTGAGTATCCACTTAATCAAAAGCAGATTTGTTTAGCCAGATTCCTCAGTGTCAACTACTTTTCCCCTCAAACTTGGAGAGACACCACAATGGAAAACACGGGTATAAAACTCACAGATAATTATAAAGTTGTGATGTAAGAAACAAAAAAAAGAGTATTTCAAAAGGAAAAATATCCAAGGTTGCAGAAGTATTGTAATCATATATATCAATATGATTGTTACATTGCTGATATAATTATACTGTAGCACCTGGCATGGACAATTCATAGATACAGGGGTTTTTCATCTCAAAGATTTTTAAATATTTTCTATTTATAGTCTTCCTGCCTCTGATTTATAATTACTATAAAAGGCCTATAGAAGATGGAGAATTTGAAAGTAGCAACAATTTATAGAAACAGAAACATTTTGTGGAACAACAATTTGAGAATGTAGTAATGAAAAAGAAAGAAAAATAAAGAAAGCATGATGATGAGACAACTAGGGTCATGTCCATTCCCCCTCCTCTCTCTGTTTTTAAATATTCATTGAGTCTTAAAATGTCATTTGGAGGCTTAAGGCTGAAAAAGCTTTTATCTACGGCCTTCCCTTGTGCGCAACTACCTTATCAGAAAGGAAATATTTAAGCCAAGAAATGAAGCAATAGAAATTCTCTAAACAGAATGTATCATATCAGTTGCGAAATTGCTTATGAAATATTGAATTGTTTTTGTTCACCTTAAAACAAAGTATAAGTAATTCATTACATTTCAAAATTATGATTGGAAGTATTTCTTAATAGTATCTTAAACCTTACACGTTTATACGTGGAAATGTAACGAGAGGTTAGAAGTATCGCCAGTAGTCTTCTTACAAAATTTTACTGGTATAACTGGGTCAAAATTTGTAAATTCTTCCTCTCATCCCTTTGATAAATTTAGTTATATTGAATAACAAGAAGCATTAAAAAGAAAAGAAATCCATCTATAAAAGACTTAAAAATGCCAATCCATAAAAAGAAAACATTGTGGAAAGGTTTTGAATACTTTGATTATAAAGAAGAACTGTTTACTCACAGCAGGTGGGGCACCAGCTACATCACAGAAGGAGCAGCATCTAACTCTGTGAGTTGTGAATTCTAAAGTCTGCAAGCTTAAGAAGGTACCATGGCCATAAATATCTCGGGTAAAACTTAACCACTTATTTTCATTGATGCTACAGGATTTTATATAGTATATTTTTCATGCTAACTTAATATACTTTTATGATCATAAGGCACTCATAATGTTCACAAATTTTAAATTGCTTTTACTAACCCATGGAATATAAACTATTTTTCACTGGATAAACATAATTGGAGAGTAAATATTTTATTAAGATACAAAATACCCTTTAAATGCATTTCAAAGCCCTCCCAAATCGTGTTCCAATAATGTCCTCTATCTGCACATAAAACTGAGAGATGATTATATTAGTATATTGAAAAACTGGAAAAGTTAGCTAATTTATTTAAAACATTAGATTCTGATATATGTCAATCAGTGAAAATTTCAAATTGTAGAAAGTGATTTTAAAAATTCTAATTTATTGTTTTCGAAGCATGGTCCATAGTATAAGTGGAAGCAAAGATAAATACTAATAATATAAGTAAATTTGTGCCATGATAATTAACAACTGAACCATACATATTATGAAATTTGAATTATGTCTCTCTTTTTTTGTCTATAGAGATTATATTCCATGCTTTGAATTCTGAATTATTAGGAGTTTGAATCCTGTTTCTGCTACCTTCTCTCTGTGAGACTTTGGTCAAATTTCTTCTCCTCTCTGGGTCTCAATTTCCTCAGCTGTAAAATAGTGCTTACAATAAACCTATCACCTGGGTTTATGCCAGTGTATGATTTGTATATGTATGATATGATAATGTTGTAACGCACTTTGCAATGTCTGGTGTTGATCCAAATTTCAGTCTGGAATGTTCATTCCAGATTCTTAAAATTTACATAGTAAACAGATGCACTTTAAGAATTAATGAAAAGAATTATATAAAAATATCAAAACACCTGTGCTTTTCAGTTACTTAAACCTCAAAAAACGTTGTCTGCACTTGAATTGCAATTTGTCCATGTGTTCCCACTGCAAGGTGCTAATCTGTCTATGAAAACAGAGTTGAGAGTCATTATTAACCTAAATGGTCTAATTCAAATGTCAATATTGGATCATTTTAGCAGACACAGAAAACAAATTACGTAATGGAAAGGAAGAGAAAATGGATACACTGAGTGATGGAAATGAGATTTTTTATACAGACAGCTTAAAGACACATTCACAAAAATTTTATGCCAATTGTGTCCTTTAAATGGAGAAAATTATTAAGTCTTACTCTCTTTTAATCATCCACCAATTACTACTTTACATATTACAGTTTTGCTCCCTGAGTATTTTAATATAGTATATTCTATACAGAATGTGAGCAAATTATTGAGTGAATGATTATAAAGTTAATATAAAAATCAAGGAAAAGGCTATTAAACTATTGGGTTTGATTAATTTTACAACCAAAAAAAGAGCTAATGCAAAGTTGTCAGAACCAAAGACACTGATATGCACTATGGTTTCTGTTTTGAAATCTTTTTAAAACGGTAAATGTTTAATTTGCTGTTGCAATGTGAGCGACAGTTGTTTCAAGGCTAACATGAAGCTACAAAATGGTTTTCAAAACCCTTTTGATTCGAATGAGTGAATTTTTGTGAATCGATGATCACTTTAAGCCACACATCAAGTCCAAATATCAGATGGGCACATGAGGACTATTCAGTAAGACATGTCTGCACAACAAGCATTTGCTTCGCAACACATAACGATGCCAAGTGGTCTCACAGCTCAAGCATGATGAGATGTAGGAATGGAAAATGAAAGAGCTGGAGGGTGGGTATCTGAACCACAAGGAAAAAGAAAGAAAAGTTCATCCACCTTGGAGACTCAGTGCATTCTCATGATCTTGGTGGTGGCAGCTGGTGGTGGTGGTGTCTCCATCTTGGAAAGAGGCACTGTGAGGCATTCTCCCACAATCGTTCTGGTACAATGGACAATGAATAGCACCATCTTGAGGCAGTGGGTGGAAAGGCTGGTGCATGGGGCTCCTTTTCAGAGCGTTAAGTGAGGAATTCCTTTCGGGAATATCCGGCAGCAGTTCACTAATAAGACGGTGCAATATACTGTTGTCTGGCAGACTTCCCCTTCTCTTTTCAGCTTTAATTTGGTCACAAATGTCTTTAAGGGCAGAGTCCAGAGCCTCAAATACAGACGTTTTACATTTTGCCTTTTCAGTCTGTTTTTTGGGAGTGGAACTTTTTTTCCTTCGGAAAGGCACAGGGCTGACTAGAAATGCAAGTTTAGAAAGGCCAGGGTCCATTTGTTGTCTTTTGGGCTCTTCGGGATGCTCATGTTTAGCTCTTTCGTGTTTTAGCATTGTGGTAAATCGGGTGTAGGATGCAGGACATCTCCCTTTGCAGGAGCTGATGAGGTGCCGGTGATGGTGGTGGTGGTGGTGGTGGTGATGGTGGCTGGAGCCATAAAAACTTTCAGAGGATGTGAAAGAAAAGTGATCAAAGTCACTCTCACTGCAAAAGGAGGATCCTTCTACATGGATGTAATCACTGTGGTCGGACACAACTCCGTCTTGGTCACTATCAGAAAACTCCACATGAGTTCTCGGCTGCTCCTCACTGGTGACTTCGATGTGAATTGGCACCAGGGCTTTCGACTTGTGGCTTTGTTGTACCTGAGAAGGGTGTCGACTTTGATTTTCTTCTTCCAGCAAAGACTCAATGGAAAATCGCCTTTTGGGACATAACCCATTTTGTTGGGGGTCTAGGGTTACAGGAGACAACATACCATCTCCCAAATTGGGCATGGATTTGGACTTTTGAATCAACTTCTCAAATTCAGAAATGCGGGTGGGTACCATGTCCCTGGGCACCTCCTCGGTGGAGGACTGGCTCCACCCATGGAGCAGTCCCTTGTGCTGCTGCTCCTTCTCATACTGCATTATCCTCGACTTCACGGAGCAAATCACCTCGGAATTCATCAAATCCTTGCGGTTAATGCGGTGCATTTTCTTGTACAATTTTAGGAACCCTGGGGCGTCGTGGGCTGACCTGTGTCGAAGCCTTGATCTGCCATTACCCCGGCCCTCCTGGATGTAGGCAGAAGCCCACGTGATGGGGCAGGGCTCCTTGGCGTCCTCTTCACATAGCAGAGAGCCCATGCTTTCCGACTTGGTTTTCGCATCGGGGAAGCTGTCGCAGTCATCATTTAAGAGATCATCACAGCTACGGGACTTGATTTTGGGGGATACCGTTTCTTCGGTGCTGCTCCAGATCTCTGCGTTCTGTCGGGCCATTTGCCAGCCATTCTTGAAAGTAATGGCCCTCTGGGAGTCCCGCGGGACGTCCAAATGCTGTCTGTAAGTGTTACAGTAATCTAACTCATTGGAGGGGATGCCGTTGAGCCCTGAGTAACTGCAAAGGGATGGACACATTTTGCTATCATCCCCACCTTTTGATCCAGGGCAGCGTGGTGGAAGAGAGACATTTGGAGAAGTTAAAAGGTTCACAAAGAGGAGAGCATGTCAGTTAGCGTCAGATAGCACAGCAAAGAGAGAGGGGTTAGAGTATAGTTTAGATACTGATTACACATGTAGCTTCAACTTTAGAGAGAAAGGTCTAATTCTAAAGCATGGCAATACTTTTTAAACGAATGTAGATTTGAAGATGTTAGAGTTTCCAAAACCATGTATAAAAAGTAATTGGTGTAGCTAATACACGTATTTCTATTACATTCGTCTATATCCTTCTGCAAATATGGTATGCCAAAAACACAACAGTACCTCATAAGCTAGTAGCATGACCTGGTGGTAATTTAAAGTTTTAGCAATTAATGCCAAAAGTGTTATATACATCTAATTAATTCAATAAGGTCAGGATTTGAGTCTTATTTGATTTATCATACTAGAGAGGTAAAAAGCAATTTATATATTTACATTTAATTAATACTCCCATAACTGTATCAAATAATTTTTCATGGGCATTAGATAACAAAGCTGTAAGACAAAGTATTCTCCAAAATTGCAAAATCAAGATGCTGTGAACCATTGCTGCTAATATTTCTCCAAGAAAAAAATAATTAGTGCCTCTTTAAATAAACTAATTTACCTCTTTAATTTCTCTACCTTTAACCTCTTATTGCAAAGGTTCTTATAAGGATAACTGGATATAATGTAAAGCTTTCATCATAGATAAATGCATTTTGCTTTTTTCCACGGAGGGTCTTTTTAAAAAGTCATTTGCAACTTGCTAATAGAGAGCTATACCTGACCTCAGTTTGGAATACGTATGGAAATATTCTTTTCTTTTGCTTTGGTGAGTTGACCTACAAACAAGAGGCCAAATTACATCTAATGGGACATTTTCTTCTTAGAAAGAGGCCTAGTGGAGGAAAATACCTCTATCGACAGCTCCTGCCTTACAATCTTCCCCAAATTCTTCAAAAGTAGATAAGTACTTTAAGTAGGTATGTAATATTTGGGAAAGGAAGTTGACTTAAGGCTCCCTAAGATGAAAACGAATATCTAAGTTAATCAGAATTCTTTTGACTTTTGGGTAGCATCTGAGCAGAATGAATCAATGAATTTCATGACCTATGTGTTACCTTAAGATACTTGTTTGCATAAACGAGTAGAATCTGATAAAGATACCTCCCTCTGCTAATTGAGGAAAGGTATAAAGAAGGGGCTCATCCTCGCTGAACCCTCTAGTTACTCTCACAGCTTCCCTGGGCCGTGGAAGAGACCTGGCACCTCCCAGCCATTCAGAGCCCAGTCCTCAAAACCAGCTGAGCTTTTGCACACAAATTAACGGCCACTTAGCTTTAACCAACACATGGCAACACCTCTAGTGCCTACATTTCATACGTGCAGCTGAATCACTGGTATTTTATGGAAATTTCTGTTAGAACTCACTTTCTTCACACATTTCAAATTCCTTCTCTCTTCTGCTGCAACCCCAGGAGATGGGAGGAGACTGTGGCACCTCAAATTTGGTATAGCCCTGGGTAACTATGGGTGCTGGTTCAGTCCTCAATGTCCATCTTAGGAATACTCCTGTTATGGCATCAGTAATGCACCAAATGGTATTTCTGAGACCTGAAGGAGTGACTTAGTCCCTTTCAACAAAACTCACTGAATTTCCAGAGAGGAGACAGGCCATAAGGAAAAATGGCTTGGTAATATCTAAGTTTTATAATTATGGCTTGAAACCAGTTAGTTTTTACTACTGCACTGTTGGGAATTGAACACTATGTTACATGCAGAACATGGCTATTCTACTGTGTATCTGAACATTGACCAAAATATAGAGCAAATGATTAAAGAAATGACTTTCTGAGATGAGGCAAATTTTTATCTAGAATTTAAAAAAACCAACTTATGTTTCAGGCAACAATATCCTCTGTTTCTGCTTTTAATTTCTATTCTATAAATTTGACTAATTTTGCTAGTTGTAGTAACATTAGAAAAATTTGACAATATGCAAGTGTTTATAAGCATAATCTTTTAATAGCCTGACAATAAATTACTTTGCTCAAAAAAAAAATGCAAATGATATATTGGGAGGAAAAAAGCATTAACAGATGATAGTCCTTTAAGCCTCTCAAATGGGTCACCAACCTGATTTAGTCTGTGTGTAAAGAAAGCTGTTGTTCTGAAACTATATTTTATCCAAGACATTGTAGTCACATGCTAACAATCTCTGGCTATTTATGACTAGACCAGCTCTCGTAGGGTAGTCTACGCGAACACTTACACTGGTAAATTGTTCACACGTCAATTTCTTGCTGCTCACCTTTTGCTCTTGATGGAGAAGAAGGAGAAGAACTGGTGAAAGACTTTGTCAGGGAGGCGCTGGATCCCGGGAGGTCGGCTCGACCGGGGCTCATCCTGCTTGCACTGGGATCCCCCAAGGCCCTCGGCTGCCCCACTGCAGGCTCGCTCTTCCTCCTTTTCCTGAAGTCACTGGCCATGCTCGCGGAACTGAAAGAAGGAATGGGCTTCAGTCTGGTTGGTGCTGGAGGAGGTTAACACGTGAACTGGAAAGACTGGTGGAATTTACCAGTGACAGCAGTACAGCTCATCTCGCATCCCCCAAACTGGATTTTGAAGAATTCATTCCTTGACATTAAACACTATTTCTTTATAATGACCTCTATAAAAAATTAATAGGCATTTTTTTTTTTTTAGAGCAGGTTGAGGTTTACAGAAAAATTGACGGAAAAGTACGGAGAATTTCCATCTAGGGTAATCCCCCTTATCTGTGGTTTTGCTTTCCGCGGTTTCAGTTACCCATGGTCAATGGTGGTCTGAAAATATTAAACGAAAAAACTCCAGAAATAAACAATTCATAAGTTTTAAATTGCATGCCGTTCTGAGTAGCGTGATGAAGTCTCGCAGCCTCGCTCAGTCTCATGGGGTGTGACGTCTTGTCCAGTGGATCCACACTGTATATGCTACCTGCCCATTAGTCACTTAGTAGCTGTTTGGGTTATCAGATCGACTGTCCCACTATCACAGTGCCTGTGTTCAAGGAACCCTTATTTTCCTTAATAACGTCTCCAAAGTGCAAGAGTTGTGATGCTTGTAATTTGGATGTGCCAAAGAGAAGCTGTAAAGTGCTTCCTTTAAGTGAAAAAGTGAAAATTCTTGACTTAATAAGGAAAGAAAAAAAATCATATGTTGAGGTTGCTAAGATCTATGGCGGCTTTTATTACGGTACATTTTTATAGTTGTTCTATTTTATTATTAGTTATTGTTGTTAGTGTCTTAGTGTGCCTAATTTATAAATTAAACTTCATCACAGTAGGTATGTGTAGGACAAAACATAGTATATATAGGGTTCCGTGCTATCTGTGGGTGTAAGTATTCACTGGGGGTCTTGGAAGGTAACTCCCACAGGTAAGGGGGAGCTGTCACACTCCTTTTTCCCTAGCACATAGTTTCCCCTGTTATTGACATCTTCTATTCATGTGGTACATTTGTTACAGTTGATGACTCATATTGACACATTATGATTAAATGTAATGAAAGCCCATAGTTTCACAGGGTTCACGTTTTCAGTTGAACATCCTATGAGTTTTGACAAATGTATAATGTCATGTGACCATCACTACTGTATCATATAGAATAGTGTCATTGCCATCAAAAGCCCGTGTACTCCACCTCTTTGTCCCTCCCTCTCCCTGAACACTTGGCAACCACTCATCTTTGCACTGTCTCCAGTTTTGCCTTTTCCAGAATGTCATATTGTTGGAATCAACAGTACGTAGCCTTTTCAGTTTGGCTTCTTCCACTTAGCAATATGCTTTTAAGGTTTCTCCATGTTTTTTTGTGGCTGGAGAGCTCATTTCTTTTTATTGTTGAATAATATTCCATTATATGGATGTACCACAGTTTGTTTGCCAATGGATAAAGACCTTTTGAAGGACATATTGGTCGCTTCCAAGTCTTGGCAATTATAAATAAAGCTGACATGAATATTCATGTGCAGGTTTTTGTATGGACGTAAGTTTATAATCATCTCTTAAAGTAAAAATTATCCTACTAGTGTAATATGTTGTGACTGATAATTCAGTGTTATGATTTGCATCATGTATCTTTTTCCATGAAGAAGAGTTCCAATAACAGGAATACATCCAGAGGAGGGATGCCAAATGGAGGAAAGGATTGGAAAAGAGGAAGACACCTGGTGAGATAAATTTCTCTTACTTCAAGAATTCCCTATAGCTTTGCCTAATAATCTTAGCTTTAGAAACCTTGCATTGGAATTCCGACATTTTCGTATTCAAATAATGAATGACCAGTGATCTGGTCAGCAAATAGACTCTTAAAGAGTTCTGTCACCCAGTTGTATTAAATGATGTCAACAGTCTATAATGGCAGGAAATTTTTATCATGGTTCTGGGCCTGAGTACAGTATCCTTTAAAACAAACATTAGTGAATGAAGATATATATACACCACCCAGCACGCTGTCTGTCAAATCATTTGATAAAATTACATCAACAGCAGCAGCAACAGCAACACCAGCTCCTAGGAGCCAGCAGTATGCTATCTGCCCTACCGACATTATCGTCCTATGTAGCCTGCACAGCAAGCCTATGAAGTATGTCCTGTTATCATTGGTTTACAAATGAGTAAATGGAAGCCCCATGCTTTGCAAGTACAGAGGTGGAGCCTGACCTCAGAGTTTGTCTGAACTCTTCTAAAGAGGATGCCCATCTTCTCCAAGACCTGTTTTTGCCGTGATTCTCCTGCCATGTGAGGGTCAGTGTGTCTTTATAACAATCCTCAGGTCAGATCAGAACTCTAAAATTCTAACATTTTAGGTGCAAGTATAGATGTAAAAGATACAAAAGGAGGAGTTGAGGGAGCTCCTTTCTTAGTGACATTAATGTCGTCGTTATGTGGCACTCATGAACCCAAGTTACAAAGGGCCCAATTACAAAGTTTTCTACTTCTGTTGATAGAAATCCAGAGAAGGGAAAATGAAGGTTATACAAATATTTGCTGTTGGTACAGCATGGCTGGGAGTTTGTATTATTCAATACTGCTTTTGAGCTGTGTCTGAATTTCTGTAGTATTTTAAATTATGTGATAATTTGAAGCCCATCAACAGAACTTACCTTGGCAGACTCTTCGGGCAGTTAGGACTAGCGGTTACAAGCTATTTGGTTCAATTCTACTTTGTCTCTGCTCCTTGCCAACTGTGTAAACTTGGTAAGTTATAGAGCCTAAGTTTCAGTTTACTCAGAGATAAAACGGGGATAATGGTACTTGACACATAGTGGTGTCTTAAGAATTGGAAACGTTTATGTGCTTAGAAGGCCCAGCACAGAGTAAGTGCTCATTTATTGGCAGTAACAGTATTTCTGATTTGCGTGGTTGAGTATAATGAACAAATATAATTTAGAAAATGTTTTATAATTTATCAAATTTTTTCAAATATATTACCATATGTCATCTCACAATATTGAAAATTAGATGTTTATAATCCCCATTTAATTTGTGTGTGTGTGAGGAAGATTGGCCCTGAGCTAACATCTATTGCCAATCTTCCTCTTTTTGTTTGAGGAAGATTGTCACTGAACTAACATCTGTGCCAATCCGCCTCTATTTTATGTGGGATGCTGCCACAGTGTGGCTTGATGAGCAGTGTGTAGGTCTGCACCCAGGATCTGAACCTGTGAACCCTGGGCCGCTGAAGCAGAGTGTGCAAACTTAACCACTTTGCCATCGGGCTGGCCCACTATAATCCTCATTTAAAGAAAAGAAAACTGGGTATAGAGGAGATAGGGAAGGGAAGAATTTCCCACTCTGTAAAGGAATACAGAATTATTTCACTTAATTTTTATAAATTCTTGAATATGATCATATAAAATAATGCAGGAACAAAATAAAACAACTTTAAAGAGTATGGTGCTTAAAATAAAAATGAGTGATAACATCATCCTCATTACTATTTTACTGAATAGTATTACTATTGAAAAGTAACCCCTGGTATAGAATATTCTGGTTGCATGATATAATGAGATTCTTACCTACTGGGTCTTTCCAAGCTTCTGTCTATAGAGGATTGATACAAGGAGGCCTGTGAAAATAGAAAAATCGTTCCATGAAAACTTTTACTATGGCAAAAGTTCACATGTCCATGGACATTAAGTTAGGTATCCTAAAAAGAATATTATCAAAATTGAGATTAAAAATACCATCTGTTATGATCATAAAATGTCTTCCCCAAAAGAAATCATGTAATCTGATTTCTACTTTCTTCCTTTCTCCTTTCCCTTCTGATATACTGCACTGTATTTCTCCGTGTAACTCAAATTATTCATAACCCAAACGTTGCCTGGGGGAAGAAACAAAAATTAATAACCACTCCTTCATGGAGCAAAATAGACTGTAAGTAGAAATTTCCTACATCAAGGAGTGGTTTGATGTTTTAAAAAAAATATTTGTAGTCATCATTCAATCCCTGTAAGACATAAACCTTCTTTATGCATTTTTTGTCCGGTTGCCAGGTATTATCTTTAAAACAGAAAATTCAGGCAGAACTTGAGACATCTTTCATCTGTCAATATAGACATGACATTTTAATAAAAACCACAGAATTTGGTTTGAAATTAAACTAAAATACCTGGCACTTAACTCAGGTACAGATCTATATCTTTCAAAATAGTTAAGTTCAGGGTTAGTTTCAAGTAAATGATTTAATGAACCAAAATTTTTTTTTTTTAAAGTGGGGTTTTAATATTTTTGTCAGAAAACCAACTCTCAGTTTTCTATGGTTGTAGAAACAAAGGAAAATAGATAATATAAATTGATAAGTAATGCCAAATGCTTATTGTACACACCACTTTCATACTCCTCCATTCTGAATCGTACAATAAAACAGATATTAAGCAAAAGTGTTAGATGTGAATTTTTCACTTCCCATGGCCATCTACTGGAATAATTGTTGAAATATCTAAAAGGCAAGAGAGGACCAGTATTGAGCTCTTGTCTATTTAAGATGAAAGAAGTTATGGCATGATGTCTAGAATGTCTGGGGAAACGTACACAAGTGCATATATGGATAAGACTATGTGTACAGACTACTGTATATACTGTACGGTTTGGTCATATTGATGACGAATTCTTCCTCACAAACTTTGGTCTGATGAAGAACTGAAATTCTAGTTTGAAAATATTCTTTCATGTAAAAGCTTAAAAATGTCAACCAGAAAGGCAGAATTTGACAAATTTTATCTTAAGTTCCTATCACACAGAAATATCTTACCAGATTATTAAAAATCTACTTAGTGGAAATTAAACCACACTTTTAAAACTATTTCTATAACTTTACTTTCTCTTTGTAAATTAGCACCAATTAACCAATTAAAATATTAGTTCATCATCTTGAGATTCTTTATATAGATCAGTCTGACAAGCCCCTTTATGCATGCCACTAAAATTGCTTCTATTAACTAATATTTTCATTTAATTCCATTTTACTGAATGAGAATGGGATCTTGCCTAGAAACACACAAAAGTATCTCCCTGCAAGAGAATATTTCCCCCATTTTAAACACAAAAAGCAGATTCTCATATTTTTAGTCCCTAGAAAATATTTACATTGCTAAGTTCTCAACAAATATAAAATGAGAAAAAAAAAAACAACACCTGGTCTGCTAATCTGATATGTTTACATGATTATTTTAACTTGCTGAACTCTGGCTCAGACACTGGAAAGGTGGAAAGATAAATACTAAATAAGAAGGAAGGCAAACAAGTAAATAAATAAAATCAGATAATTATATTCTGATTTAGAAATACTAATTTCACGTGTTTGAAGAGGAGCAACACCAAAGAGCCTCAGCGCTTTGCCATCTGTGTGTGCGGATCACAGCTTTCATGGGACGCCCAACCACAAACCACAGTTGATCATCAAAAAGCATCAGTTCCAGAACATTCTTAGAACACCACTAGAGTGGTCAGAAATTTTGAATCATCAGCTTGGGATGAGCCTAAACGATGCTGTAATATGAAATAAAACATGGTGCAAGAAGAGAAGCCTCTACACTGATAAATTACTTGTACTTTAGACTTAGGCTAAGAAACTACAATTATTCCCCCTTGCGCTGGTTTCCACAATCCAAAATAAACTGAAACCAGTTTTGCGATGTTGTGTATACTCAAAGGAAAAGGTTCAGTATTAAATTATAACAGTAAAAATTCTAGATGGATGACTGAGAGAAAAACTTGTCTGATAGTTATATGAATGGTACTCATCCTGAGATGGAAATCATCTCCAGAAAAGAGGTAACCTATTTTACTTATTATGATCTACTGAGTATTTACATGTTACCATTATTTTAACACATCTAAACAAAGGTCATCTTAATAAAGTATGACTCTTTCTGCTAAGTGATCATGTGATCAAACTTTGCTTAAAGAGCCTTAATTGTTCTTCATTAATGCCAGTTTCCAGTTTTATTTATGGATTAAAAGTTGTTATTCATGGCATATATTAGGCACTCGATAAATGGTAGCTATGGTAATGTCTAATCAATTACAAACTTTACCAGGAATGTTTTCCAAAAGGTTATTAAAGACAGAATCCAGTACCTTATCAGTGTTTTGTTTACACTCTGAAAAAACTATGATATGAAATTAATAAAGTAGTTAATATGCCATCAGAATCACACAACACTCTTTCAACCCCAAAGAGATAATAGCAAGTCAGTTTAAGCATCCGCAAAGTGCTTTTTTACATGATTTTTTTCCCCACTACCATAACATTATAGAATATATAGAATTGTTTCTACTATTTTTAGCCCAAGAATTATTGTGTAACGTTAATTATAGGAACTTATTTCACAGAAATTGATAGTTAATAAGGAATAGTATTAAGTAAATAATTTGTTTCTAAAAGATTTAGGCTCTAACTACTTCTCTGGAAAGTGCTAAGAAGTATGGTAAAAGGGAAATAGCTCTGAAGCCAAGGTTAAGAGGTCTGTGCTTTATTTTTAATTTGCCACCATCTCACCCTGCGATTTTGGACATATTTCTTAAAATTGTTGGGCTCTACTTTTCTTGACTTAAAAATGAATGAGTTGGACGTGGTGCTCTCTAAGTCCCATTTCAGTTCTCAATGGACCAGCTGCCTTAAAAACATCCTTGGAATATCTGACCAAAATATATGAGAGAAATATCTGACTGAATTGAATTCCAAAGTAAATTCTTGGGTTGTTCATCTGTTGAAATAATACCCTTTCTTTAGACATGAAGGTAACATAACATACAGAATAGATCTGCTGGTTATATTTGATTTTCTTCAGATTATCTGCCTGTCTACAAAACACAAGCCTTTAGAAAGACCACATTCAATAACCCAGAATGTTCCTGATTACTCTATTTTACTTTTTATTTAATACATAAATATTTTGATCACTTCTCTGTTTTATTATACACTCTGATGCACAGGAGAAATAATTTGGAATTGCAAACTCAAACTCTAGAAAGTTGGGTGTTTCCTCTTGAGCCTGTGCCTGCAATTCCAGTTGGCACCACCATGTGGCAGTGGTACTTCTTGCAGCACAGGTACCCTACTAGTTTTATTTTCTAGTTGCATATATTAGCAGAGTTAAGACTTTTCAATGAAAATAAGATACTTATTAAGCGTTTTTGTATTTACTTAGGACCACAGAGAAACTACTGTGTGAAAACTACTGCAAAAACCAGTTTATTCACATTCCTCCCACCCTAGCTGCTTCTAAGAATTTCCACAGGGAAGCATTAGATGGCTGATGTTTAGCAAAACTGTCACTTTTGCTAGTGTCCACCAATGAGTCCTAAATCTGCTTTCCAAAATAATTTTACTTGTCTTTGCAGAGAGCAGGATAAAAAGCTTTTGATTCTGGATTATTTCTGCCTTTTTTGTTTCTTTCTTAATTAAAAATTTTTTTTTGTTTTTTTGAGGGAGATTAAGCCCTGAGCTAACATCTGCCACCAATCTTCCTCTTTTTGCTGAGGAAGATTGGTCCTGAGCTAACATCCATGCCCATCTTTCTCTACTTTATATGTGGAACACCTGCCACAGCATGGCTTGACAAGTGGTGGGTAGGTCCATGCCTGGGATCTGAACTGGTGAACCCTGGCCTGCCAAAGTGAAATGTACGAACTTAACCACTGCGCCATCAGGCCTGCCCCTACTTTTGATTTTTGATGGTCCCTGGATGCCAGGACTGCACTGAAGAATTCCACTGAAAGTTAGGGTTGGAATGATTCTTCACCTACATTTCAGAAAGAGCCGATAACTTTGGTATAATCAATGCCCAAGCAATGATACCGGATGCAACACAATGATGCCAAGTCAGAGTTTCAGAAATAGCTTAGACACTCTAGTGAATTCCAAAGCACGGATGTTCAGAATCACAGTAACAGCTCCTAAGAGAGAAATCTGAAATAGAGAATAATTTGTTTTTACCTCATTGGAAACACCAGAAGAGTGATCTTGAACATAGTCCAGAGCCTTTTTAGGAGGCTGGGTGTAGACGCACCACATAAGCAGAGGTGTAGAGATGGAATGAGGAGAATCAATGGCAGCAAGGAATGAACATGTGGAAAAGGTGACAACAGTTAGAAATTGAGTGCCGACAGCATCGGGTACACATAAAGAGTGACATGAATGGAAACATGGGGGTGGCCTAGGAAGGGTGCAACGTTCGTAAATATTCTCAAGCACTGGGCAAAATTACTAGTGACTTGATTAGTATATTTGTAAACTCATTTCATCACATCAAAATTAGCACTCCTAGTCTCCAGCCACAGAGGAATGCAAGGTATATTAAAGAAACATTAAAAGGAGCAGGTGGATAGCATGCTGGTGAGTTTCCACGTGTGGCTGAAAATGATTATAGAAAATGCTGATAATTTTGGCTTAGAACAGAAATTGCTAAGTTCCCTCTGAACTGTCTAATCAACAATAACAAGACATATAAAATAAAGCTAGAGAATTTTTTTTTCTCTCAAACAAAATGGATTCACGTCAATACTTGGATACAAATTAGGAAAAAAAATGAAAGAAAACATTCCCCCTATTAGGTATAGAAATTCTAGGAAAAATTCTTTGGTTTATATTCATTTACAGTCACTTTTGATCCAGTTCAATGAGATACAATGAATCGAGCCAAGTCTCCTTTGCGTTTTGGTGGAGAAGAGAGACTACATAACCACCCAGTCTACAGTATACGATCACTATGTGAGTATATAAATCAGTATACGATATGGTAGAAAAACCACTGCACTCTCCGATCTTTAGTAAAATTCTGTGCGGTGTAAATGGTATGTTCTTTAAGAGTTTAAAATTCAGAAACACCAGTAAGAGTATAAAAAACATGTTGATTGACAGACATCACATGCACTTCTGCTGGGAGGCAGGGTTCCCCAATAAAACTTGAGTTAATAAAGGAAGTTGTCATTTGAGGCTTGGGGTAACTGTGTATCCCAAACAGACTACGCAGTTCTTCTAAGGTCCACCTTTGGTAGGGGTTTGGGGACTAGAGGTGGTGGGGGCTTCTACTAGCAAGACTAGAACTCAAGGTCCAGAGGGTTCCCTTATTTTTCCCTTTCCTTGTATCCTTAAGAGCAAATGAGATAATGTATAGTGGGAATATCCTGGAAGTAAATTATAGTGGCAATTGCTCAGAGTTTGTTTGTATGTTTGTTTCATAGGCCTGGGTTTAACTTCTGAGTCTGCCACTTACTGTCCTGGGCAAATTACTTAACCCCTCCTGTCTCTAGTTTCTTCTTATTGGAGAGGCATTGTGAGGACTCACTGAGGCAATGAGTACCGAACCCAGCACTGTCCAGGTGGTTGGTGATTCCTCAGCAAATGGGAGTGATAATAATAGTAATGGTTACTATAAATGTCATGGTGCTCTTCTGATTGAACTAGACCAAAATGGGCTGTCAACAAATATAAATCTTCTATAAATCGGTAATAATTGTCTGAATATTCTAGGATAGAAACTATCTCCACATTTTGAGTTTGCTTAGATACAAAGTGATCCTAAGGCATGATTTGGTGGTAAAGAAAAACTATATAGGACATGTCTCAGCATTTGGTACAGAAGTGAATGTGGGCTAAACGTACCAAATTTGTGCACATAGTACACATTCAACTTTTGTTCTCTAAATGACACCTGTCTCTTCTGATAATAGGTTTTATAAATCAAACAACATTCTCCTAGTTTTCTTATATTAATAGTCTAGCCTCACTTACCGGGCGTCCAAACTCCAGTTCTGAAAAGAATTTATACCAGGGCTCATTTTCTAAATCTATGTCATCTGGATTTATGCGATCAGTCTGGAGCAGATGTGAAGGAAAAGGGAAGGAAAAGGCACACTGAGCTAAGTGAGGGAGACGCTGTGTGGCATGAAAAACACGCACGCGCGTTCACACGCAGACATGCATCCACTCTCACCCAACAAACCTCAGCTGGAGAGAACAGAGGAAGCACAGTAAAATGAGTAAAATTAGGATATGAAGATGAGCTTCAACGGCATCACTCAGACCTCTATTTATTTCCTCTGTCCGTCATCTCTAGTTTGCTCCTTAGCTTGATGCATAAACTATGAAAAACTCTCTGTGACAGCAAGACTGAGCATCGAGAGCGCACTGGAGTATTAAAATAGGCTCAATTTGGGCCCAAGGTGGCTCTTCTGGGTGAGTCACTCCATCGCCCCTGCCCTCATTGGTCCCAGCACAGAAGTCTGCTGTCTGCAGTCTGCAGACAATTCACTCAGGTGCAGGCATATGGAGAGCTGGGGGGAGGGTGAGGTGGGAAGAGATATGAAGTGGGGGGAGGAGTGAGAGGTGCTGGGAGGCTGTTAGGGGTTGATTGGCATGAAGAACCTGGGGTCTCAGTGAGAAAGGGGCAGCAAGTGGGGGTGGGGGTGAGTAACCAGCCTCTGATTGCCTCTGGAGAACAAGGGCTACCCCACAACTTCCCAACAGGCTTTCAGTAAGTCAAAGAAGGAAGGAGCTCACCCAGATGGGAGAGAGAGCCGGGGTGCTCGGGCTTGGTGTGGGGATGCCAGTCCTGGGCGGAGGGGAGGGGCTACCAGTTATTCCTCCAGGTGGTGGAATAGAAATAGGCTTCCGGCCAGGTGCCCTTGGAACAGGTGTCGGAGTTGTTGGGAGAGGGGGCTGTAAGAAAGAGGGGCAAAGGAAAAACTGATTCATTAGATAGAGGGTTCTTAATGGAATCGGGAGGGCACGAGCCTCCAGTGCTTTGTGCTCTGCCTTAGGCAAGGCAGGGGGAAACATTCCAGGGAAGTAAATATCCCAGGGGTGGGGGCAGATAACTTAGGAATGGTCTGGACCACTGAGAAGATGCGAAGACAAGGAGCCTCTCGGAAAGTATATTTTATGAGACACCCCAAATATCACCTCCTACCTGTTTACCTTGAGCTAGAGAAATGGATTTGGGTGGGGTTTTTCCTGCAGTTCTGAGGTTGGCCAAGGGCTGGGGAGAGGGCGAGAGAGAAGATCCCACCCTGGTTTGGTTGACACTGTAATTTAGAGAAAAAGCCAATTTTCATAATTGACATGCTCCCCTCCAGTGGTTTCTGAATATTTGTATTAAGATAGAAAAACTAAGAGTGTTAACATAAACAGTTTGAGAAAAGACATACAATTGCTTTAGTAACAGAAAAAGCAGACATGGAGCATTTCCTTTACCCAGTAATATCCTTAATACTTTCAAATAATACATATTGACCAGATTGATTTGGGCTGTTGATTTTATATTAAAAATGGATGCTAAAACTACTACATATGGGTTATTACTTCTTTCATAATTCGTTATGTGACACTAATTAAAGATGGTGCAATTGGACAGTAGTATTTTAAGTTAGAAAAAAAAGTCTTCCATTCCCTAAAAACCATTCACCCTGGCCAGGAGAGGATATATTCTTTGTAATATTTGGTGCTTTGAGATATTCAATATTCAAACAAAAGCCATGATGTTGACATTAGCTTGTCCAAGTGTTTCATTGACTTTCTGCATTCCCAATAGTTTTGTTAATAAAACACAGTCTGTATTTAATAATTAGTTATATCCAAAGTATTTTTTGAGATGTGCTTTTTATTTCAATATTTTATAATGTGAGATTATAGTGGTAGCTGTGGACAGAGATAGAAAAGTTTAAGACATCATAACAAGATAATAAAAGGGCTAAATTATCCAAAATATGTGGTGATCATAATGACAATGACCATGTGGTAACCCTGGGAAATGTATATGATGGGATGCTGAGCAATAAAAGCAGAATATAACCGTGTGCTTGCACAAGAGTTACAATGGTATCACAAAACCTGTGTCTGGACAAGCACAGGAAGAAAATACACACCCACACAAAAGACCACAATGGTACTCTCGTACTGAGATTGTTTGTTTTTTTCTTTCTTTGAAAATATTATTTTGCTGTGCTATTATAATGTGATGGAGGACATCCTGTCATTGCCATGAGAAATGCTGCAGCAATCTTGAGATATTTCCTCCTATTTATGCCAATACTATATTGGTTTAAATTTCAGAAGTAACCGTGAAATCGGTAGAAAGAAAATATTCTGGTAACTAATTTACCATTTTCTGTTTAATTTGAAAACTCGATTCAATTTACATCTGATCCAATAGTGAAAAAGTACTCATTGAGACTATGGTATTACTAAAACATTCGTTTTCTCCAATTATCATTCAGATAATAGCTGCAGCATATAACTATTTCATGGAACAGTTCCAAAGGAGCTGATTTTTAGGGTAATTGACACGAGAGAGATTCTGTGTAAATTTCTGCATAGATTTCTGTGTAAATTTCGTTCTGTCTATAGGGGCCTAGTACTTCTTCCACAGGAAAACTAATCTTTGGCTCTTTAAAATGTTATTTCTAATGTTACTTACTTAATAATATTATTACTTCTTGATTTTATAATCTCTGCTTTCAAATGTAGTACTTTGTTTCGCTAAGGGGAAATAGAAACTTCTCTTAGAGGAAACAGATTTGTTTAAAAGAATTTGAACACTAGAGGGCAGCAAATTTACTAAACAAGTAAGTATATTTACCAGTGGTTGCAACTTCACTTTGAATTCCACCTTAAGAAAATATACAAATAAATATATATATATTTATAAATATATAATCCTGATTTATAGAAATCGATTTCAATGAAAAAGTATGAATAAGGGAGCAGAATATCTATCACCCTGAGCCATCCTGAGCGTGGCAATTTTCCATGAATTATGATTTTGCAGATTAAAAATTCAATTTATAGTCTCAGTGGGCAACTCTCTAGAATCCACGCCAACAGAAATTAGCTGAGAAAATGCCCCAAACAATGACAATTGGTAATTATCTATAACTTTGGAACTTAATGAAAGGCACAGGCTGGAGCAGACCCTTTATGGTAAAGAAACAGTAAGCGGCAGAACTAGAATTTTCTCTTTGCTGGGGTTCCTATTGAGTCCCTTTAGTCATGCAACAATGATATGTCTGATGCAGCAATCTAGATCCTCTGCTAAGATATACAGAGGCCTCACACAGTCAGTGGTACACATACAGATGGTCAGCCAACAGACATATATATATATATATACACTCATAATCTCACTAAACCAACACTATCCAATGTGTAACCTGACAGTTCCTCTGAGGTGTTTGACATGAATACTGACACTCACAAACTCATCAGGAAGCATGACCATGCTTTGCTCTATTTGCTTCTAAAAGGCAACAAAAGAGCAGAAAGACTGCTGTGGATCTTTCTCATCTCTTTTGGTCTCTTCTCATTTTGAAAAATTTAGAAAACGTGTTCTTAAAACTAACATGTCATCAGTGCAAGAGGAGCCGCTTAAGAAAATCTAAAACTATAAATCACACACGATTCTTATTTAAAGGCAACCAGGGGTGAACAATTTTTAAAGTTCTTATTTTCTACAGTTTAAAAGTTGCTTTCCAGGTTATAACAATTCTACTGTTCTCAGTATTCATTGCAGGCATGTAATTTCTGTATGTTCTTCCAAACACAAAGAAGTGTCAACATAATTTAGTTCTTTAAAATTTATGCTCATTTGATTTTTTAAGCTTGAATGGCATTGGCTACCATGTTTTATATTTATTGTGGTTCCGCACAAATGCTATACACATTGTCAGTTGGAGCAGTTCTGTATGGGCTAACCACCTAAACCATCAGATGAAACTCCTAACATTTTTATTTTTTGCTTATTTATTTATTTTTTTGGTGAGGAAGATTCACTCTGAGCTAATATCTGTTG